CTTCACATTATAGATGTTACACTTTAAACCTCATACATTCAAACATGATGTTGTATTTAGGTGTATTTAATCAGACGCTGTCCCATAATGCAGGATATAATTTTAATTTCTGGTGAAGTCAAAGTCAAATTATTATTGATTGACTATTCTCTGTAATAAATACCAGGAGAATAACTAGTTAAATAATCTGTGTTTTATCAGCTGCAGCACCACCAATGTAAACGGACCAGACATCAAAACATATTTATGTGATTTCTGCATCACCAGCTGATGAGTTTGTCGGGTTCCCATGGCAACGCGGTGCATCCTGTGTGTGATGCTGTAACTGCACGGCTTCATTCAGTGATATTAGTATTGTACATATAATATATTTAAATCCCAAACTGCGAACATAACCAGGTTAGCTCGGCTGCCTCAGTTACCATGGTGATGTAGCTGTGCAGCATCAGTTACCATGGTGATGTAGCAGGTTAAAAGAGCCTCCGTGATACTGAAAACTCAGACTTGAGGCTCAACATACTGATGACTCACTAGTCTGGCTTCCTATTACAGCCCTGAGCAGTTCCAGAGAATTTCAACCTAAAGGCTTGACTTCATATTAATTCTGTCTGTTTAATCTGATTTGAATTTAATAGAAATTTACAAATTTGCTCTCAAGATACAGTTATAACAGCTGAATGGTTGCATGACAGGAGAACTGTGAGAGTACAGCTGTCCTCATGATCAATAGTTTCACCTCCGGTGTCCTGTATTTCACACACAGTGCCTCCATAGGCTGCATCTATACCGAATAATCCCGGAAAAATCCCGCAAATAACAACAGAATTCGTAGAAAAATGCGATAAATTTAAATCAAAGGTCCGAATATCGCACAGTTTTGTCAGTAACAAAAACGTGCAAATTGATACTGACACAAACACAGTAGCCTCTGACTGTACATCAGCTGATCAGCTCGGATCCACACAACAACAAACGAACCTCAGCCCGTGACCCTGATGACCCTTGTAATAACGACAGAAGTCACGTGATGTTACCTGCGCAGGTATCAGCAGCTGCTCCGACGATCTTAGTTTGATGTTTTGTTACTGAGATGACCGTTTGTGTCGAAGCATCGTTCATCCATCAGGAGAGAAACACAAGCAGCAGCCGCGTCAAGTTCACACAAGATGCAAGGATGCACTTCCGGTCAGCGTTTTCAGAATAAAACAATTCTTCTCCTGTGCTGCAAACAAAAAGAAAAAAATTACACAACCTAAACATGAATCATTAAATGTTGCCTCTGTAATATAAGTTTTTCCCTTTTTGTGAATGTTAAGATATGAACTTTATTGACTGCAAAACATTTTATTACTTATAAATATCATTTATTATTATTGTTGTTGTTTTAAAACTAGTCAGTCAATAGAAAATAATCACAGTGAGCTCAAGCAACTACAAGAGTAAAAGTTCTGCTTTTACATTACTACAAGAATGATAATTATCTCATCATATAGGAACCAATAAACCAGTAGAACAATATGAAGGTAACGGGACATCGGTTACTTTTATTTTTTAAACTTTGGATACATTTTTGCGACAACACTTTGTTCATTTTCTTGTCTTCATCATCTTTTTGTGGTCGTTTGGTTGTTTTTTTCCCTCCATTGTGACCATCATTTGTATTTTTTCCATCCTGATTTCTGAGAAAACGTTGAAGCCTGTTTTCGATGCTGTGTTGTGTGATTGTGTTTAACTTGACTTGATGCTGCAGGATGCTGAGCAGCTTCACCCTGCACAGGCTTCCTGCTGCCTGCAGGGGGCAGGACAGGAGGGTTCACCTCCAAACACACGGAGAAATACCAAAAACAAACCACAAATCCAAGTTAAGTTTAGTAGTCTAGTAATAAAAGTAATTTTGAAACATTCTGTGCATCATTAATGAAATAAATCTATCCAAAGCCTGTTAAATTGCCTCCTTTTTCTGGCAGTAAAGTGATGATGGAGCTTTGAATTGATTAGTCAGGGTTCATGGATTACTGGCAGGTTTCTGTGTCCTCTCGTATTCACTACATCAGTAGTCAGTCACATAATTTATTAATATATTTCTCGTTATTTGTCCACCGCCAAGTTGAGGCACTGATGCAGAAGCTGTGGTGTGGAAAGTAAACAAACAAGACAGAGCTAAAGAAACAAAAAAATGAAGATATATACATTTAAGAATATGTAAAATATCAGTCACAATCCAATTTAATAGAAAATAAAATAATTTATAAATGATTTTGTTTTTATGTTTGTGATGTTTGGAACTTTGTCAGTTTCCATGACGACACACAGTCTCATCTGTTTCCATGGTGACACACAGGGTCATCTGTTTCCATGGTGACATGCAGGTTCACCTGATTGTGTGGTAACAGCCATGTTCATCTGTTTCTATGGCAACATCCAACTCCATCTGCTTCCATGGTGACATACTGATGAATCTGTTTCTAAGGTGACACACACAGGTTTATCTGCTTCCATGGCAACACACAGGTTCATCTGTTTCTATGGCAACACACAGGTTCGCCTGTTTCTATGGTGACACACAGATTTATCTGTTTCTATGGTAACATCCAGCTCCATCTGCTTCCATGGTGACATACTGATTAATCTGTTTCTAGGGTGACACACAGGTTTATCTGTTTCCATAGCAACACAGAAGTTCATCTGTTTCTACGGTGACATACTTGATTTTAGGACTTCTTGGTCTTGATTTGGGTCTCAGTTTGTTACTTTACGTTCTGATCAGCCTTTTTTAAAATTTAATTTCGGATCCTTTTCACTATAAATTACACTAAAATGATATAATTACTGCATAGCCACTCCTGTTACTGCTAATAAAGTTACTACAAGTACTTGAGAATGCTGTGTGCTGTAACTGCTGGTAATATTCATGTACTAATACATTGTAGAAGTTATTCTGTTGTATCCTGTTCGGTCTGATTTACTTTCTAAGTTTTTTTTGGTAGAATTAAATGTAAAAATAAAAATTAAAAAATCAAAACACTGGACTGTGTGTTTACGTCCAACCCCGCCCACCCGAGCTGAGCGTCACATGGCGGCCGACAGGCCTGGGTGGAGTTATCAAGCGCTCCCTCCTCCCGGAGCAGAGCGGACGGAATGCAGCTAGCTCCGTTAACGGTAACGGCTTTATTTACGCCTTTACGCTCCTCGCCGGCGATGACATGAAGCACCGTCAGGCAGCCGGTGTCGGATTCAGGCCGAGCTAACGGCCACCGGTGCAGCTGTGCGGCGGGAAGCCCGGCCCGGTGTCGGTTTGTTGTACAGGGTTAGCTGCTGAGCTAGCTAGCTGCCTGCTTCTTTTAACGCTTTAGCGGGAGTTAGCCTCGGAGGAGACCGATAACCGCCGCCCGGTCACAGCCTCGGTACATCTGGCCCCGGACCGCCCCGCAGGATGCTCGGAGGAGGGCTGCGGTAGGACGGACACAGCCGGTAACCCCGCAGCGGATGTAGCTAACACCGGGCCCGAATACCAGCACACCTCCTCCCCTCCTGCTCTCCTGCTCTCCTTCCTTCCTCTCCCATGATCGCCATGGAGCCTCCCGCCCTCAACCCGCTGCCTCAGTTCCCGGAGAACTCCTACAAGAGTGAGTACCTGAACGAGCAGGCTGCATGTGGTGAAGCTCACCTGTGTGAACACACCTGTATGAACACACCTGTATGAACACACCTGTATGAAACACACCTGTATGAAACACACCTGTATGAATGCACCTGTACGAGCACATTGGTGCGAACACACCTGTAAGAAACTCACCTGTACGAACATACCTGTATCACATATGTACGAGCACACTCATATGAACTCACTTGTATGAAAGTCACCTGTCTGAACATACATGTACAAACTCACCTGTATGAACTCACCTGTATGAACTCACCTGACCTCTGACCCTGCAGTGACCGAGGAGGACGTGAAGAGGCTGATCGAGTTCAGGGCCTCCAACGAAGCTCTGTTCACCGGGAAGAGGAACTCTGCCAAGATCGCCTGGAGGTAAGAAGCTGCTGACGGTCAGGATCAGTTCGTTTAGTTCTCCAGGTGCCACGTCGGACTAATTCACCTGAACATGGAGGTGATGTGTGGAGTTATCTGATGTCAGACAACCAGCACTCACACAGGTGGAGCTCACGGGAAGGATTCTGACAGGAAAAAGGAATACAACACAACATTCAGTTTGTCTGCATGTGTCTAGACTCAGCATGCAAGTGGTCGTATTTTGTCACTCAGAGAAACAGTTAAACATCTAATTTCTGTTGTTATGGTTAGAAAAGGGTTGAATTTAGCAAATCGTGTGCATAAAGTTCTTCTTGTCTTGTTGTCTTCACCGAGGCCACATGCAGCATCACCAACATTACCTCTGCTCGTAGAGACGTGTGACCTGATTTCTGGGCTACAATTCTGAACATTTTAATTTCATATCGAGTCGTACTTGTTTGTTTCATGACGTCTTCTCTGTCGTAGAGCCGCTGAGTGTTGGAACCATAAATATTTATTCCTCTATGGTAAAAAGAGTGGATAGAATTTAATTAAAAAATGTTCTGCTATATGGAAAAACACTGACATTTTCACCAGATGACTAAATAACTGTTTGGAAATAAATAATCATTTTAGAATTTCTCATTCCTCAGCACCATCCTGAAAGGCCTCGGCCTCGAAGGGAAGCTCACTGCCGACCAGATTGCCAAAAAATGGGACAACTTGCGGACGAAATATAAGGTAACAAGAGATGTAGTGAAACTTTGAGTGAGATTCTCTGAACGTTCAGGGTTTCACGGTTTTGTGGAGGCTCAGAGGTGACGTTTTCTCTTCCTCTAGTCTGAGGGAAAATTTCCCAAAATTGAAAGTGTAAAGAACTGTATTGTTGCCTGTCGTGTGTCGACTTAAAAACACTTCTGTTGGAGGCTTCAGAGTCGCTGTGTTCCTCCTCCAGGACCTGAAGCAGCCCTACCAGGGTCAGGACCACATCGGGGGCGTGGTGGAGTCGTGGCCCTGGTTCCACATCATGGACGAAGCCATGCAGGGTCGCCTCTACAACAGCAACCTGGTGCTGAGTCCGGAGAACGCCGGCAGCGCCGCTCACCGCCCCAACAGCCAGCCGAGCCAGAACCAGGAGAACACCGACATCCTGGAGTTCCTCATCAAGACGGAGATGGAGGACACGGTGGCGGCAGAGGCGGCGGACGACGACGGGACGGTCCACGCCGAGGCGGCGCCCATCGAGGGCGTCCCGATGGGCTGGAGGAGGATGTCCGAGTGCTCGTACAAAAGTAGGCGACTCACCTGTTTGTCAGTGGTTTGGTTTCCACTTCAGACTTGTTACAGTAATTATTTGTTCTGTTCATATTTAGAGAGATTGTTCTGATCGTGTGTGAGTCAAGTTAAACCCTCTGAGCTCCAGCAAGTTTCTGGTGTTTTTTCTTCACTGTGGTTCATTTTTCACTGCAATATAAAGTCCTGCACCAACAGAACTACCATGAAGAAGAAGAGAGACCTCAGAAATGTCTCTAGTTCAGCACGACACAGTTAGAATGACATAAATCACAATAAAAACGTTAGAAGTCTTTGAATTTTTGTCATGTGACTGTTGCTCTCAGCTGAGCCAGTCGAAGCTTCTTCGTTGCCCCCAAGAGGACAGAATTTTAGTTTTTTTTTGCAGAATCTGGCATTTTTTGAGATTTAAAAAAAAATTAAAACAGACACGTGGAATAAAGTGATTTTGATGAAACATTCTGATTTAAAGCTTAGATTTTCTCGACAGAATGGAACGTCACATGATTGTCAGTGTAAACACAATAAAAAAAGGAAAAGACTTAATGTAGAGATGTCTCACCCATGTGCACCGTAACTTTGAATCATCTGTTTGACTTCCACACTGTTTGTTCTGTTCACAGTGACGGAGCCAGAAACAGAGAGGATGATCAAACTTCGAGCTGCAAACGAAGCACTTTTCACCGGAAGGAAACATTCAGCCAAACCGGCCTGGAGGTGAGTTTTAACTGGTTCAGAGGATATTTGGACCAAACTTTATTCAGAACCTGTTTGTGGGACAAAATCTCAGGTTCTGGTTCTCTGGCTGTTCAGATATTGAGTCTTTAAGAACAACATGATTTAATCCATCAACTATAAAAGTCAGTAGAACTGGACATCCGTATTCATATTTTTAAACATTGTTTTGCATAAATTTAATTACAATTTGTGACACATTTTTCTAAGATTTATTCAATCCATATTTATCAGATATTTTAGGACATTTTTCTAGACTTTTTATACAACTTTTGTTAATATTTATGTGTGTAATTCGGGAATTATTTGATATTTTATTTACTTTTTAAACACTACACCATATGTGAATATTTTTAGACCTTTAGTACATTTTCACACATTCAAAAAAAAAAAAATTGATTTATTAATAATTATATTATTATAATTAATTCAAGTTGTTCTTGTTTAATAGACAGAGTTTAAAAACGACACTTTTCTGGGATTTTGATCATATTTATCATATTTTCAGGCTTTTTTGACATTTAATTTATAATTTGTTAATACTTTTAGAACCTTTTAAAAGAATTTTTAAGGTTATTAATTATTGTTTGTTTTTTGTTAGAACATTGTTTGGACTGTATATGAATGTTTTTAGACCTTTGAGGGCTGTTATTAAAATGTATAAATTAAATATGTATTATATGTATTATAAACTATTTTCATATTAATTAGGATTTTTAGAAAATTGTATTAATGTCCAAATATTGTTTGGACAGTTATCACGACCTGGCTCAGGAGGTCACAACGAAAAAGGACGAACACCATGATATACGTTTAGATCATTCTTTATTAAATCAAATATGATCAAATGAGACCAAATTAAACAGCCACATCAAACCTTGGTGTTCCTGTGGAGAAAGCCGGGGTAGAGAGAGAGAGTTAGAGCTACTGCAGGACTTCAGTAACATCATCACCTGGGCCCAGGTGTGCTGAGTTACTCCAGTCAAACCACTGCCGATGAGAGACGGGTTAGGGACACACCTCCAAGATGACACAGCGGTCCAGACACTCCCCGGTGATCCCACAGCGGCATCACAGCAGTTCACAAGAAGCTTTAGGCCTTTAAGGACATTTTTTATTATTTGTCAAATATTTTAATATGAAGTACGTCGTATTTGTCAGTTTTTATTATAGATATTTTATTTTTCAAACATTACTTGGATACTTAAAGGAATATTTTTATCCCTTTGAAGGCATTTTATAAATGTTGTTATATCTTTAAGGACATTAAAAAATTAATATAATACTTTAATATTGATATTTTTCTCTTTTTTCTTCCTTTTATTATCTGCTGTTGCTCGACTCGTGGAGCTGCAGGTTGTCGACAGTTAATTAGACTGAATTATTACTAAATAATAAAAACTGTAGTGTTTCTAGAATCAGCTGATTATTTATGTTTGTAGTTGGATGATTACTGATGAAGTTCATGAGATTCGTGAAGGGGTTTGATTTTGCACTCACATGTAATTAATTGAAACTTGATTTAAACTTGTCTTTTCCTGCAGAGCCATTCTGTATGAGTTGGGTCTTCAAGGGAAACTGACCACTGACCAGTTGGCCAAGAAGTGGGACAACCTGAAGAGGAGGTACAAGGTACGTCCACCTGCAGCCTCACCAGCAGTCCGTCCACGACTCGCAGTGATCAAACCGGAGCCGTGTTGAAATGTTGAGGCTTCCCTGTGAATCGTACATCACAGCAGCTGGCGGTTGAATCTTCTCCAGACGATCAGTGCAGATTTCTGTCCGTTCCAGGAGCTGAAGTTTCCGGCCCGCGGCGTGGAGACCAACCCCAGCTCGTGGCCCTGGTTCTACCGCATGAACGACGCCATGGAGGGACGCTTCGCCGGCGCCGCGCCCATCCTCACCCCCATCGTGGAGGACGAGGACGAGGACTGCGAGCCGCTGTCGTCCACGCCGAAGAAACGAGCGCGCCGGAGCCGAGGGGGGATGGCCGAGTTCCTGACGGAGTCCGAGATGGACCTGCTGGTGGACAACGAGGAGAAGAACGGGTCGACGGCGCTGGGAGAGCTGCACCGCATGGCCGAGTTCACCTACAAACGTAAGAAACGCTGCAGCATCTATTCATGAGATTTTTGAGCCGTTTTGCTTCTGTAACAAGGAAAACATCCAAAATACACATTTAGGTGTTTATTTTACCGCCTTTTTCCAGCTTGTATCTGTAGATTTCAGTTATCGTATATATTCTAAAAGAGTTTCCTCCAACTATCAGCCACAGATGTTCACTTCAGAAGCTCCTACATTCACCAAACTTTACATTTTTATTCTAAAGGTTTTTACAGAAGCTTTTGTTTGTAAATTAGTCATAGCCTGATTTATTAGACTTATTTTTTCCTAGCAACATGGAGATTTGTTTGTTTTTTTTCTGGTTTTTCACATTATTTTCTGATTTATAGAGTGAAAGATCCAAAACCCTTTCTCTCTCTCTCTCTTTTTTTTTTGATGTAAAATGTCAACAAGAGAATTTAGAAGCTGGATTTAGCCAATATTAAGATTTCTGTAGCAAAAATGTTTACAAATTAACACATATTTAGATATTTAAGGCCTCGTTTGCACATTTACACTTAAAATGACAGAAAATATGTCATCCAAAAGACAATTTTCTTATTTTAAGTGATCATCTTGTGAAGTTTCATGATGCTATTTAATATATTTTAACCCTGTTGATTTTCAAACTTACAGAAAAATGAGTGTCTTTACGTTTTCTTTGACACGTTATTGATGTTTTTGTGGCTGAGATTGAATGTAGAGGATCGTCAATTATTGAAACTGGTATTTTTTCAGCTTTTCACACTAAAACTTGAGATTAAAACAGGACATGAGACACACGTAGAGACTGACCTGAGCTTCTGTTTTGTTGTTTACATGCATTAACAGTAGATCAAAATAGAAATTGTTCAGTGACGTGTGGATATAAAAAGATATCTGTTGTTCTGCTGCAACCTTTTCTTAGCGTTACAGGAGGGTGGTGATAAATCTGAAAGTAAGTCTGAAGCAAAATTTATAAAATGCCATAAATTATTAGCATCAAAATTAAGTTCATATGTTAGAAGCAGAAAGCCGGTGATTTTATCCCCTCTGCCTCCTCTGATTGTTGAACTGCTGTCGTTGATTCTTGTTCCAGTGACAGAAGACGACACCAGGCGACTGATCGAGCTGCGAGCTGCTAATGAGTCTCTGTTCACGGGGAGGAGGAACACCGCCAAGCCGGCCTGGAGGTGAAGCAGCATTCAGATGTTTTCTGAACAATGTAAAAAAAGATTTCATTCAAAACCTTGTGTGAAGTGATTTTACTCTGATCGCTTTTCTTTGTTGAATATAACAGAATCGTCTCTGATAATCAGTCGTGACCAGAAAGCGGCAAAAACACAGAATGTTTAGGACGTTTGTAAAGAAGTTGTTGACCGTTGTGTGTTTTCTTCTCTGTGTGTCCAAAGGGGGATCGTGAAGGAGATGGGACTGACGGGGAAGATCACACCTGACCAGGTCGCCAAGAAGTGGGACAACCTGAAGACCAAATTCAAGGTGACAATCAGTCTGTATAACGGGACTCACAGGGGCTCAGGGCAGAATCTAACCGGACATTTGGCTGCGTATGCTTTTGGCTTTCAGCTTCAATTTGTAGTTAAACGTTTCTGTGGGAAAATATTGTTATCTCGTCGCCATGTTTTAACCTCCTGAACCACAAGAACTGCCGACGGGTTTGAAAGACGTGTTTGTTTGTTGTTTTAAATCACATAGCTGGCATCATCTATCAGCCAGAAACTGAGTTTCAACTTTCTGACAGTCAGTTTCTACTTAAAATTGTGATATTTCAGCTAAATCATTTATTCTACATGCTTCTTTTTAAAAAACTGCCAAAAATAAACCACTTGCTCAGACTAGTTTCTGTCAAAAACAAAAAATTCTGCAGTCCTCTGTCCTACTGAGAAACCATGACTTACTCAGCTAAGACCAACATTCATGTGACAGAAATTCTGAGAGTTTTAAGGTGAACTGGACGCAGTGTTTCCACAGAGCACATTGGAAAGTGACTCATTTAAAAAAATAAATTAAAAAGTAAATAAATAAAAGTAAATAAATAAAAAAGCCAAAAGTCAAGCATCTTTCTACAGCTGATGAGCAGAGTAAACAGAAAATCAAAGTAAATAGTCAAATATTTATAGTATCCAGTTGTAAAATAGATAATAAAAGAAATGTACCTTTTTTTCTCTCTCTGTTTTGTGTGATTTATGCCATTCTAACTGTGTCAGTACTGCACAGAACACATTTCTGAGTTCTCTCTGCTTCTAGTCCTGGTTGTTCTGTTTCCATAGAGGTGCAGGACTTTATATTGCAGTGACAAATGAACAAACGGTGAAGAAAAACGTGACGAGAGCAAAAACAGCCAGAAACTGCTGCTTGGAGTTCAGAGTGTTAAAAACAACTAGATTTACTGCAGCTAGAAGTGCTGCACATGTTATAAAACAGGCAAGAACTACAATATGTGCACAACAGAAAACAAGATGACAGCTTGTAAAGTCAGTTTCTGAAATAAGAAAAGTATAAAACTGCTGAAGTATTAAGACCAGAAGGAGAAACCAGAAGCAGCAGGTTTGAACTGTGTTTGTGTACTTTCTGTGTTCTGCCTCTGGAGGGCAGCGTTTTCTGTGCTGGAGGTGTATTTACATCCTTCTAATCGCCTCTCTGTGTGTCTGTCTGCAGGACCTGAAGTTTCCTCCTCGGGGGATGGAGGCCCAGACCAACCCGGCCTCCTGGCCCTGGTTCCAGCTGATGAGCGACGCTCTGGAGGGACGTCTGGCGGGGAAAGCTCCCAGAGTGACGCCGGTGTGGACCAACGAGGAGGACGCCGTGTTCGGCTCGTCTCCGCCCGCCGACAGGGACTGTCTGATGGTGGAGAGGGGCAGCGTGTCGGAGCTGGAGAGCATGGTGGGCGGAGACAACGCCGAGGCCGACGGCAACGTCACCTACATCGACGCCAGCGGGGAGGAGTGTTCAACGCTGTCGGACCTCACCTACAAGAGTAAGACTACATCTGGCTGGTAGTTTCTGGAAGAACATGTCCAAAGCAGATGTGTGGGACCAGTTTATAGTAATCCTGGGAGCTTTGGTAGGAAACAGCAGCTCTCTAAACTGAAGAAGCCTCTTGGGTGAAGGTGAAACGTCTTCAGAGAAGTCCAGCTGCTTTTGACTGAAGCTCCTCAGATTAGACGTCTACACAGATGTGATCTTTGTATCCACCAATAGCAGAAGTTTATTTTAGTTTATTAGTTTATTTTGAAGGAACAGCGCTGAATTAACAGTACCGTCAATTCTGGACTATTGAGGCACCTGAATATCAGCCGTACCCACTAACTTTAAAAAGAAAACAGATCTTTTAAACTTTTAATTAAATACGTACCGTAAATGCTTTTTTTCTGAACAGCGCCTGTAGCATGGCTGGTTAAAAAAAATAAAACTACAGCAGCCTATCAGGAGAAGTCATTGATCTCTATCTTCATCTTCCTCCTGCACTAAAACCACTGAAGTCTTCAGTGTCGGAGTTGAACAGCCTCAGCATTACTTCGTCACTTCCTCAGTCTCTCTTTCGTTGTCGCTCTCAATGTCACTTTGGTCTCGAGGCAAATTCATAAAAATCCATAAATTAGCCGCATCGTTTAAGCTGCAGCGTTCAAAGTGTGAGAAAAAAGTAGCAGCTTATAGTCTGGAAATTACGGTAGTTGCACCAGAATTAGCGAGCGTCTATGTTTCATCTGGTACAGAAAACCAGAACAACCACAGAAAAATAAATACATAAAACAATAAAACCTTAGAAGTCCATCAGTGTGAGGTAATAAATACTGACAGTCAGAACAATGTCATTAGTTGTTGGAGGTGCGACTTCAGCCAAACCTGAGGCTGGTTCTAAACACTGCAAAGCTTCCTGAGGTTTTACAGTTTAAGGGGATGGAATTCTACACAGCTAGCTCTAGATGCAAAATAGTTTCAGACATCAGGGATACTCTAAGCTTTTATCATTTATTCTACCTCAGATGAAACGCCCAGAAACGACAGACATCATCCAATTCATCTAAGTTCAGAACTTTTTCCTGACGTATCATCTCACAATAAAACTCTAATTTATTCCAAATAAAATGTGGGAAAAGTGTCGACCAGCAGAGAGATTTAGATGTTTTGTCAAACTTCAATATCACAAATCCAGTTCTCAACTTTAACCAGATTTTTTCCAGTTGGGCTCTTCAGGCTTTAATGTCACCCAGAGCCTCTCCTCATTAGAGCTGCAGCCAACAACTGTTTTTACTTTTTGATTTTTTTTTTTTCTGGACGAATCAATCAGTTGTTTGGGATGTGAAAAGTCACATAGCATTTCCCAAAGCCAAGAGGAAAATATTCACATTTATTAAGTGTTTTTAATCATGAAACTTCTCCCAGATATTAATCAGTTATCAAAATACTTGGTAAATCATTTAATAATTGACAGTTAATTGATTATTAACTGTTTTTTTTCCACTTCAAATATAAGATCTGTTGCACATCAGGTCCTTAGAGTTACAAAATCACATCATCCAGATTTTCTACAGACGATTCTGCCTTCAGAGCAGCAGAGGGCGTAGATTCAGCATCCAGTGTGTTTGTGACGGTTTATTTTCTCCCCAACAAGGACTGAAGTATTGTTTACTGAACAAAAACTGGTGTCACATGTTCATTTTCACACACGCACTGCTCAATTAAATAACAAATACTTCAGGATATTTTCAGAGTCACGTTAAGTTTGGTTTCATATTTTAGTGATGTTGCACAAAAGGTACGTCTCTATATTGTTTATGTAACATCCCTACATTTACCGTATATATATCACACAGCTACACTCTAATTATTTAGCCATTTCCTGTTTTGGTTTATATTTGACCAGCAGGTTTCTTCTGGCTGGAAATGACAAAAACAAGCGACAAACTTTTTAGAAAAGGCAGAAAATGTGAATAAAAAATACATAGAAATAGTTTAAATTCATCATTTAGTCACTTGTTGGTGTCATTTCCAGCTAAAAGAAACCTGCTGGTCTTTATAGATGAATGTTTGACACGTTTCTGAGTATTTTTGTGCCTCGATGTTTGTGCGTTCAGTGACGGATCAGGACACCAGAAGGATGATCAAACTACGAGCTGCTAATGAGTCGCTGTTCACCGGGAGGAGAAACGCTGCCAAAGCTGCCTGGAAGTAAGAACCGAGCCTCCTTTAAAGCCTCGTAGTTGTGTGGACGAGGCGGCGATGTTCACTGTGTCTGTCCTGACGTTCATTCAGAGCCATCCTGAAGGAACTCGGGCTGCAGGGGAAGGTTTCCACCTACCAGATGGCCAAGAAGTGGGACAATCTGAAGAGGAGATACAAGGTAGACGGAAAGGACTGAACGGCTTGTTCAGTAAATACTCTCCTCAGAGTCCTCAAATTTCTCAGTTACAGCTGCTCCCATTCATATCAGAAACATAAACAGTACAAAATATATCAACACAAATGTAAAATATGAACTAAAATATAAACAAAAGTGGAAAAATATGACCTAAAATCTAAACACGATTAGAAGAATATATCCTAAAATATGAACATAAGTAGACAAAACAGGACAGTATGGATTTAAACAATAGGTGGGACATGATTTACAGCATTTATATAATTAATTAAAGGCTTTATAATTAATTAATCGTGATTAATCACATTTTTATCAAACAGCAATATTTGGCACAACAAGCAAAGTTTTTCAGTTCAAACACATTTTGGTTGAATCAGTGAATAGACACGTACATGAACTTAAACCACATAAATGTTTATTTTTCATCAGATTAGTGCAATTATAGCGATTATAATCAGCATTATAAGACTTTTTGTCTTTGTCACCCTGCTCTTATCCAGGCTGTCTCGTGTCAACAGGATCCGTCTATTTCTTGCTTCTCATTGATTGTCTATGTGAAACGTTGTGTTTTGGAGCTTCGCAGGGAGTTTCAGCGACGAGGCAAAGCGTCGCCCGCGAGCTCATTTACATAAAGTAGACTTGACTTCAACTTTATGCAGATTTTCGCAAAATCCCCCCCGTGGACACGTAGCATCAGGCCTTGATAAGAAAAAGGACCACCCAAAAATATATTTAAAAAAAAAATATTGCGTCCAGCTCGCAAAAAACAAAAAAGCTAAACAAAAACAACTTTCCACCCAAAAAGCCAAAAAACAAAAAAACAACTTTCTGCCCAACAAGCCAAAAAAAAACTAACAAACAAAAAACGTTCTGACCAACCAGCCAAGCAATGCATCCTGTGCGTCTTCTTCGCAGCAGACAAATGAACTTTAGGTGCATTAGCGCCACTTGCTGCTGGAGTTTGAGCATCAGTGTTACCGATGTGCCACAAATTAGGCAACTGAGAAAGGTGAGATTTTTCTGTAAATAATTCATCGAAATGAACGCGTTAAAGTCCCAGAACTAGTTTAACCCATAAAGCCAGAAACACCTGTAACACTGACTTCACTGCTCACATGTTGCTTCTGAGTCGCTGTGACGAGCTTCATGTGTTAACAACAATCCCAGAACTGATCCATCGCGCCACATATAAACTGGTTTTGTTTGTCAGAGCAGAACACTGAGATAAAACCTTTATTTAGTTTCTAATAACTGAATCTCTTCCTCTTCAGGACCTCAAGTATCCTCCCGTCGGGATGGAGAGCGTCGCGGACGGCGCCTCCTCCTGGCCGTGGTTCCACCTGATGAACGAAGCCATGGAGGGCCGGCTGGCGAGCAGCGCCCCCCTCCTCACCCCCGTCACCCAGGACGACGACCAGCACCCCGACCCCGCCCCCCGACACAGCAGGCCCCGCCCCCTGCCTCCTCCCCCGCCCCCCTCCTCCTCCTCGGACTACGTACAGGACTCGTTCGCTGATACCGCGGACCAGAACCAGCGCGGCTCGGAGGCCTGCGACGGGCCGCTGGGCGGACTGGAGCGGGAGTGGGAGATGGTGGAGCGAGAGAGGGCGGCGCTGGAGCGGGAGAGGGAGATGGTGGAGCGGGACCGGGCGGCGGTGGAGAGGGAGCGGGCGGCGGTGCAGGCCGAGCGGCTGTGGCTGGACCGGGAGAGGGCGGCGGTGGAGCGGGACCGGGCCATGGTGGAGCAGGAGAGGGCGGCGCTGGGCCGGGAGAGGGAGGTTCTGGACCAGAGAGCCCTGATGCTGAACTCTGTGGGACACTCCGGACACCTCAACGCCCTCATGTAGGCTCTGGGGGGGCGTGGAGCGTCCCTGTACAGAACTCCTGTTGGTCCTGGACGGACTCGCTGCTCCTCTGGATCCAGACGTGGCAGCTGCTGGTCTTCCACACGGAGCTGCTGAAGGACTGAGCTCGCTGGGGGGCCGGTCCTGGACATGTGCACCTCTGGGGGCGTCGACGTCTGAACAGAGGAGCTGCACAACTCAGCAGTCCAGAGTTTAGTCACTGAAGGGGAAGTTTTTTTATTGCGTGATAACCGGAGTCATATCTTCACACCTTCAGCCTTTTTTGTTTTTATCGAAAGATCTCCTGAAATATTTTAAACAGTGCAGCCTTCAGGTGAATGAAGAGTCCAGCTTATGCACATGTGCAGGTTTTTAAAGTCACATGATTTATTGTTTTCATAGTTTTTTTTAGTCCGGGAGCGTTTAGGAGAGCAAATACAGAAACACTAACGGGACAAGACCGACTGACAAACACACACACAGCAGACGTTCTGCTCGGATTGTGCAGCTCCGCCTGTTCAGACCTCAGAGTGCCGACGAGTTCTCCTCACTGGGCCCTGGAGGTGCACACCAGTGTTCCCAGTTCAGCTCCCCTGCATGTAGACGAACTAACCTGGGACGAACCACTCTGGACCGACGACGCCGTGGTTTCTCCTCCTCGTGGACGGTTCCAGTGGAACCGATGGATAAACGCTCTGCGGTCCACACAGACAGACGCTCAGAACACACGACTTCCTTCTTTGTATTTATTTACGAGCAGACGTCACGTTTTAATTTAAGGTCGCTGTCGCAGCTTCAGGTCTTCTGTCTGTGTGTTAAAGTTATGTCAGAGTCGCCGGAAAAACATCTGAAATCTGAATCCAGTTTAACCTGCAGCAGCTTCTGAATGCAGTCGTGACTGAAAACAGAATTGAATGAAACACTAAGTTATAGTTTGATAATCAATCAGTCAGTGTGAGAACATTTTTCATTTTAAAAAGTCAAAATTGTCTAATTGCAGCTTTTTAAATGTGTGTATTTTCTTTTTTCTTTTTTTTTTTACCCCCTCTGAAATGAGACAGAACAACTCTTGTGCACAAAACATGATGTTTGAGAAACACTGACGGACATTTTTCAGCATTTTCTGACATTTTTGAGACCAAACAACTAATTGATTAATCCAGATAATAATCAAAAATGTAACTTAATCACAGTAATCCAGTTGTTTCAGACCGAACTCTATCCGTCTGATTGCTGTAATTGGAAAAAGAAAAATCCAACTTGCTCAACCTTTATTTAAACTCTGAATACACTGAAGTATAAAGACCTTATTTACAATATGGTGGAGTAAGAAAATAAAAGTTTGAGTAACAATATGTAAAGGAAAACTTGTAAAAAATGTTCAAACACACTAATTAGAGTCTTTAAAACTCAAAAACAAGAGAATCAACTGAAACAAGAACATCTGGAAGTCAAATGAGATGCAATTAAAAACCTGATTTGCTCTAAAGTGTAAAATTTAAATCATCAAAATAAAAAATAACTTAAAAAAAGCCTTTTAAACAAAATACAGAAGCCATAATAATGATGATGACTTTATTTATATAGAACTTTAAATGTGAAACAATTAAGAGCTTAAAGAATACACATAAACGAACATCTCTCTGTTCAGTTTGCATATTTGCTGCATTAGTTTATCATTATTTTCATGTGAAAATTGAACATTTGTTCTTATTCTGAATCTGGACTTCCAGATGGAATCCTGAGATTAAACATTGAAACTAAAGTTGATGTTTTCAGTCAGATCAGATGTTCTGCTGCGACTCTGAACGTATCCGGTGAGCAGACGGTGAAGCTGTGCAGCGTTTTTTCTCTCAGTCACTTTAAAAAACAAAAAACAAACCTCCTGAATGTTTTCTACGCTCATGTAAAGATGCCTTTTTGTTTCTGTCTCTGTGCTGTTTGTCCTTCGAGGAAACAAAAAATCGATGCAGTCGGGGATTAAAGTTCAGTCCTGCAACACGGTTTGATAACACGAGCGGAGTCCACTCACTGTTTTTATTGTTTCCTGAGCTTTCAGTTACAGAGGAATCACCAAACACATTTACAGCTTTTAAGTTGTTAGGAGGATTTTCTTCTCGTTTATGGATGTTGGTGATGTTTCGAGCTTTTGCTGCTGCTGGAGTCGGTCCTGATGGTGGAGTCGGTCCTGATGCTGCAGTCGGTCCTGATGCTGGAGTCGGTCCTGATGCTGCAGTCGGTCCTGATGGTGGAGTCGGTCCTGATGCTGCAGTCGAGGAGTGTAGGAGTCCAGTTTTTCTAATTTTACGCAGGGAGAGGCTGTTTTTTTTTTCCATCAAAAATCCTTTTATTTTGCTAAATGAAGCTGCTGTCAGGTTGCAGTGCCATATATTGAATGATATTTCAGTTAAATGGAACAGGGGCACAGAATAGAATAAAGGAAAGAAGCCCACAAGTGACGAGTATCGGCTATTTCTGTAGAAGCAGGAGATCTACATTGTGCCTGATGTTACCTTCAGTTTATAACACATGGACCATTTTTGGTTTGGTCTTAAGGTGTTTAAAGTTTGGCTTAACATGATTATAATGGGGTTGGTTTTAAATATTTGCAGTATTTTTAGACTTGGTTCTGGTGCTGGACTCGGCCTTAAAGCTGGAGTCGGTCCTGATGCTGCAGTCGAGGAGTGTCAGAGTCCAGTTATTGTAATTTTATGCAGGGAGAGGCTGTTTTTTTCCATCAAAAATCCTTTTATTTTGCTAAATGAAGCTGCCGTCAGTGCTTTGTATGTGTTCCTACTGTTAAACATTTACTATAAATGCAACAGGGACACAGAATAGTACAAAGGAAAGAACCCTACAAGTGAGGAGCATCATCCCTCTGGCTTGTGCCTGATGTTCCCTTTGGTTTGCACCACACAAACCATTTTTGATGAAGTTTTAAGGGTTAAAACTTTGGTTTAACATGATTAAAATGGGGTTGGTTTTAAGTATTTGCAGTACTTTTAGACTTTATCCGGATGCTGGAATCAGCCTTAAAGCTGGAGTCGGTCCTGATGCTGAAGAGTCATTTCTCTCTGTTTTAATGCAGAGCGGTGTCATAGGCAGTTTTTTCAGTAAATATCCCTTTTGTTTTGTGAATTTAAGTGTTCTTCCTGTCAAAAAACTTGATTTATTCAGAACATGGACACAGAATAGTACAAAGGAAAGAAGTCGACTAGTGAGGAGCATCATCCCTCTGGCTTTGTCTGATGTTCCCTTCAGTTTGCACCACTTGGACCATTTTTGGTTTAGTGTTAAGAGTTCAAACTTTGGTTTAACATGAAGAAAATTAAAATATTTGCAGTATTTTTAGACCCTGTCCTTACGCCGGACTCAGCCTTTTAGCTGGACTCTGTTCTGATGTTGGAGTTGGTCCTAAAATGGGGTTTGTTTTAAATATTTGCAGCATTTTTAGACTCGGTCCTGATGCTGGACTCAGCCTTAAAGCTGGAGTCGGTCCTGATGCTGGAGTTGAGGAGTGTAAGTCATTTTCTCTATTTTTATGCAGAGAGAGGTATATTTTTCATTAAGTTCCTTTTCTATTTTGCAAATGTAGGTGTATTTCCTGTTAAACGTTTGATCTAAATGGAGCAGGGATGCAGAAAAGTGCGAAGAGAAGAAGCCCACGAGCGAGGAGCATCGTCCCTCTGTGGTCTGACTGGTGGTAAACTTTGGTTTCACGCGGTCAAATTGGGGATTTTCAAGATTGTAGTGTTTTTAGACTTGGTCCTAAATAACCGAGTTGTTTGTGAAGCTGTGCGTCAGTTTGCAGCCTCAGCAGCAGTTTGTGCTTCCTGCTGTAACCGAAACAGCAAAACATTTAATATTTAAGAACAAGTGAATCGACTTAAACGGAAACAGCTAAAAGCCAAATAAGACAAAAGTAGAGACTTGAATAACCCTACAGAATAAAAATAAAAGCATCCAGATTAAAAATAATGTCTGTTGCAACTTTAAAAAAGACTTTTAAACAAAATCCAAAAGTCATAATTTTATTTGCATGAAACTTTTTCCAAAAGTGTTTGACAATAAATAAAAAACTGTAATTCTACTTAAATAACGATTCACAATGTCAAAATATACAAAAACATAAAAACAAACTAAGGTACATGTGTTTTATATATTTTTAGAAACACCTGACGTCTGATCTTCATGTTGTTTCAGAACTTCTGGCTGATCGTCGCCGCGGCAACCTGCTGCTTCATTGGTCCTCCTGGTCATGTGACTGATGATGACGACTCCATCCTTCAGACTTTGCCATTTTCTGCCTTATTTCACAAAGAGCAGAGTTTCTGTTTATCAGGATTGAAGACAGAATCACAACATGTTTAAAACATTTTGTCACAACAGCAGGTTGAATATTTTCACCACACAGTCAGAAGAAACTCCACAAAGTTTAGACATTAAGAAAATCAAACGTCTGATGATCAGCTGTTACTCAGATGTTAGAATAAAAACTTTAAACGGCAGGAAAAAGCACAAATCCATGTTTCTACATCAGTACAGCACATGATCCTGATCATACTCTATATAACTATTTAACTTGTAATCAAGAACTTTAGCTTAAGTAACTGTGGAGGAAATATTCACATCCTTTACTGAAGTAAAAGTACTCGATTACAAGTCAAAGTCCTGCATTTGAAAACAAAAGTACATCAGGAAAATCAGAAATCTGCTTCAATGTTATGTGATGAGATAATAAACTGTATTATAGTTTAATAGCAGGAGGCCTTTTTCTACATCTTAAACAGATTTTCCTAATTTTACTGACATACTTTTACTTTAAATGACATTTTCAATAGATGGTTTTTACTTGTAATCGAGTACTTTAACTTAAGTAATTGTGGAGGAAATATTCCCATCCTTTACTTAAGTAAAAGTACTCGATTACAAGTGAAAGTCCTGCATTTAAAATGTCACTGAAAGTAAAAGTATGTCAGTAAAATCTACTGTATTCCATTCCTGTGACGGTGAGGCTGTAACACCGTATATTATCTGATTAGATTATTATTACTGATTCATTCATGTAACAGCAGGATTTTATTTGTTTTAATGTTTTGGATTCAGTTGCTAAATTTTCTTCCATTAATTTTTTATTCAAAAAACTTCTCAAGTGCTCGAATTATCAATTTTCAGTTAATTCACTGATCAATCCGTTGACTAATCGTTTATTAAACTATTTAATTTACAACTAAACATCATATTTTACGAGTTCTTTGTGTTTTATGTGCAAAAATTGTGAATGCGGTGAAGAAAGTAAGACCAAAAAAAGTACCTTAAATTTGTACTTTGTTGGACTTTTTGAATAAACGTTCTCATCTCTGGACATAAGAGCTCACCAGCGGCTCAGTTCCCTTTAGTTCCTCAGTAAACCAGGACAGTGAACCTCCCAGACGTGGAATGCAGCCCACAGTAGAAATGTTTGTCTAAAAGTTGTGGTTGAAGCAGATTCTTAAAAACTCCAAAAAACAACTAAAGCAGTGATAAAGAGAAAGAAAAGTGGATTTTGGTTTAGAAATATCTGAATATTCCCTGAATGTGGTTCATCTTTGAGCTTTTTGTGTCCGTGAAGGAGAGAACCGGTTTAACGAAACCTGTTTTTCAGGTCGGATGCTGAGTGAAGATGGCAGCTGCTGACAGATTTACAGCCGATGATGAATCCTTTTACATGCGTGTACGTCTGTTTTGTGTGTCTGCCGCCTCATTAAAACACAATGATGTCGTCGCCTCAGAACGTTTGTCCTGTTTGTTTGTTTGAAGGATGAACTTGAAAGATGAAGCAGAAGATCCACTGAGGGAAGAACTTCAGCTTTCATTAGGGGCCGCGGGGGTTCATCTGGAGGCCCACGTTAGGCCCACGGACCACTGTTTGGCCTCCTCCCCTCTTCTTCTTCTTCCTCTTCTGGTTTCCTGCAGATGTTGGACCAGCTGGACACCTGCTCAGGTTTCCAACTGGTTTAATACTTTTAACTCAGACGAAACCAGCGCTGATGGTGGCGCAGTGGTTTGCACCGTCGCCTCACAGCCAGAAGGTCGCTGGTTCACGTTCCAGTGAGTCTCCATGTTCTCCCCGGGCAGCGTGGGTTCTCTCTGAGTTCTCCGGCTTCCTCCCACACAGTCCAGAAACATGCTGAGGTTAGTTGTTGATTCTAAATTGTCCGTAGGTGTGAATGTGAGTGTGCTTGATTGCCAGCCTGTGATAGACTGGTTACCTGTCCAGGTGAACCTGCCTTCACCCTGAGTCAGCTGGAATAGACTCCAGCCAGCTAGTGAGGATTAAGGTGGAGAGATAGTGGGATGGACGATAAAATGATAAAATGAAGCAGACACCAAAGCTGCGATTTAGGTTGTGGAGTGTCACACCTCTAAACAGGCATAAGTTTAAAGACGTTAAGAAAGAGGAAGCTAGATAAGAATCCCCCCCCGGATGGTTTTAATCAGCAGGAAACTGATCTGTAGAGACTCAAACCAGTTCTTGAACCAGGC